GACAAATAGGAAAATGTTTACTTTCTAAGCTAACACGTTCAGCCGTTTCTGTAATACATGTTTTCACATAATTAAATATCTTCTTTATTTGCTGAAAGCAGAACTTAAAGAACCTTTTGCGAATTCTCCTGTTAGTAAATGTTATTGTGGTTGAGTGTCAATAAAACCTTGTTTCTTTAAATGTATTCTGTTAATTAGTACACTTTCCACTAATTCAAATGTGCTTGTTTACTCCCGGTTAGTCTAAATTTTGTGAGCTCCCATGTTTGTTTCCACTAGAAGCAACCCTAGGAAATAGCTCTGTATATTCATCACCTTTCTCTTTAGTTTCTAGGCACTATATACCAGGTACGTTGAGGGAGACTGAAGAACCTAGTATATAGTAGATTTAAAAGTAAACCTATACTCCAGGGAGATAGGGTAGAGCCTTGGTATGGGTATTCATATGGCTCTGAGGAGACTGTCGTGTGGACAAACAGCACATGCTCAGGATGCATAGCATTCAGCCTGTTTTGGATGCTCTGCTCATTTTCCCCGTAACGTTCCTCAACTTCCACTAAAAGCATGCCACCTTTCAGTTAAGCACATTATGTGTGCTTTGGGGGCTTGAGAGGATTGCCATGATTTTTACCTTACTGTTTGGGTACCATTTTCTTTTGTGGAGGCATATTTTCACAACATTCAGAGCAAGGAAACAGCAGAATCACACAATGATTGAAACACAGCTGATGATAGCCACCAGACTGCACAGCGTGCTGGAATTTCAAAAGCTTTGCTGTTGAAATTTCCTTTTTTTTTTCCCCATTTCTTCTTTTGTTTTTAGAACCACACTTGGTCAAAATTGCAGGTATTAAAACTGCAAACAAGGTGGGCATGCTGTATCTCTTCAGCATCTCTCCCAGAGGGAGGCTGCTTGCTCTCCTGTGCCCCATGTAACCTTCAATGGGGAATTTGGTAGGTATTTTCCCACTCCTTAATTCTGCTTCCTAACCAGGCCCCTCCTCTACTCAGGTGGGGCTGTGATGGAATCTCTCCACCAAAGGTCTTCTCATAGCTGTATATCTTCTTCTATCTGCCTCAGTCTCTTGTCATCTTAGATAACCCCACTGTCCACATGAAGATCTATCTGACTCCCTGGCCATAGGGTTTCAGGATGGCATCTGTGGTGCCTTTTACCTCTTCTGCCTTGCAGTCTCCACCACTGAACACATCTTTGCATCCTCTCACACAGCTCTGCTCTGTCACTGCTATTTGATGCTCACTGTGTCTGTGAGACTGTTAGTCTGCATGTCTCCTGCCCTCCCCATGGCAAGTGACATCTCTGTTTGCTAATCCTCTGCCACCTCCCATTCCTGATCCCGCGATAACTTGAAGTCTGTGAGCCTTTTTTTAAGTCTTACTTCCTCCCCAAATTCAAGAGAAGGGAGGGAAGAGTAGAAAGGTGACATAATTCACTTCAACATGCTTATAACTCTGTTCTTTTTTTTAATTTATTTTATATAGATGATGTACAGAGGGATTACAATTACATGTGTCAAGTAATGAGTGCATTTTCTTTCCTTTCAGTGTCTTCTCTTTCCTCACTCTCTCCCAGTTCCACCGCCCACCTCCACCCATGAGTTCTATAGTTCACTTTTATCAGTGTTCAGTGAGCTCTACTCCTGTACTTTCTCCCGCTTTTTCCCTCGAGTTCTGTACCCCCCCCAACTCTCCCAAAGATATACATGCAGATATATCATACATAAGAAGACAGAATCATCAAAAAATAATCTTTTAAAAGATCTATTTCAAAATTTTGGCATTTCAATTATATATATATATATATATATATATTATATAAATATAAAGAGGCATCTAGGCATTGTGCCTTTGTTTCCCTTGTAAATGTATCCCTTTTTGATAACCCTGTTCTTTTGCTGAACCTGTCCAGCAGCCCTGGGCCAGCCCTAGCAACCAATGTCCTAGCTAGTAACAAGATACTGAGGAAGATGATAGCTGCCTGTGAATGACTGTAGTCACCCTATCCACTGCTGGAGGCCTTCCTGTTTGTCCCCGACCTGCCGCTTTCCCAGTCTTCCCAGAGACCATTCCAGACATTCGCATAGGCTGCATGGTCCGTAGTGCCTCACCGTAAAGTTCCCTGAGTCTTGACAGCACTAGAAGCTGTCGGTTCCCTTTCCACTTAGAACCACTTGCTCTTTAACAAACCCCATTTCTGGACCCCTTGGCTTTGCAGTCAGTTATTCCAAACTTCTTCCTGGACTTCTCTGCCCTCTTTTAAAAATTGGTGTTCTCCAGGGCTCTGTGCACAGCACAGGGCATTTGTTTGTTTGTTTTACTTGCAGGTTTTCTGCTTCATGGCATTTTCCCCCAGTGTTCTAACTATCACATATACAATTGGCCAACTGTGTCAGCAGGTCTTACATCCACAGATTCAACCAGCCAGAGACTGAAAATATTGGGAGAAACCACAGCATCATTTTTTAAAAACTGCCATACTATACAACTTGTGACTTGGGAGTTTAGCAGGCAAAAGACTGTATTCAATCACCAGTTACCTCCCCCCTACCCCCCATACCCCCCCTCACCCCCACCAAAAAAAAATTAGAACATGCACAGACTTTGTCTTACCATTTCCTAAATAATACAGTAGGTTACATAATATTTACATTGATCAGATATTGTAAGTAATCTACATGTGATTTTAAAATGTATAGAAGGGGGGCTGGGAAGGTGGCTCAGTGGTAGAGCACTTGCCTTGCATGCCTGAGGCCCTGGGTTCGATTCCTCAGCACCACATAAGCAAAAAAAAAAAAGCTGGAAGTGGCACTGTGGCTCAAGTGGTAGAGCGCTAGCCTTGAGCTGAAGAGCTGAGGAACAGCGTCCAGGCCCAGAGTTCAGGCCCCATGACCGGACCCAAAAAACAAAACAAAACAAAACAAAAAAAAAAAACGTATAGAAGGATATAAGCTATATGTAAATGAAGCAATAAGATACTTGAGCATCTCAAGATTTTGTGGGAGGGGGGAAATGGGGACTTGAACTTAGGGCCTAGAACTGTCCTAAGCTTTCTTGCTCAAGGCTAGTGCTCCACCCCTTGAGCCACTGCTCCACTTCAGCTTTATTGGTGGTTAATCGGAGATAAGAGTCTCATGGACTTTCCTGCATGGGCTAGTTTCAAACCCATCCTTAGATCTTGGCCTCCTGAGTAGCTAGGATTACAGGCATGAGCCACCAGTCCCCTGCCCATCTAAGGATTTTGATGTCCTCCAAGGTCCTGGAACCAGCTCGCATGGAAACACAACTGTGTTTGTCTCCAGCCTAGCCCCCTGCCCTGTACTTCCCTAAATCTCTGCTAGCCATCTTCATGTGAGTATCATATAAATACCCACATCAGAACTACAGTGCCCCACCTTTCACCTCATAAACCTTTTCTTTCTTCAGTATTTGCAGTATCATGTGATCCACACACAAAAAAAAAAAGGGGGGAAAAAAGCCAATTGTTTTTTGTCTAGATACTTGTCTCAGGCAAATGTAGTAACTTCCTGAAGAGATCCTCTACTTCTACTCTGCTTTCTCCCAAATTGACTCTTCCTTTGGCTTCCCTGTAGCTCTTTTGCACAGTTAGGTTGCTTACAGTTGAGATCACATACATGTATACCTTTTGGTCTCCTTTCAAATTATTTCTTTAGGATCTATTTCTAGGAGTAATAGTACTGTCCATATTTCTCATGATATATTACACTTCTTTCCCAAATGGATTTTTGCCCACTTTGCTCCTCAGTAATATTTGAATGTTTTCACAATTTTATCAGAACCAGATATAAGCTTTTTAGCATATTTTTAGTTTAGCAAATAGAAAGTATATTTCTCTTCTTTGATTTACATGTTGGTTGGACATTTTCCCTAATACTTTATACTGTGGATTTGCTCTGTTTGTTTTCTATAGGGACTTTTGAGGTTGCTCTTTTATAAATATTGAACATTCTCAGTCATATTTAATATAGACAGCTTTTGTTATTCTGCTCAAATGTTTCAGTTTTTCTATCATTAAAGCTGTCGGTATTTTCCTTTGTTAATTTCTTTTTTTTAAGGAACCCTTCTAAAACATTAAAATTGTCAATGTTTTAAATACCACGAAGGCAGTGTGATGTGACTGCAGACTAGCTGTTGACCGTATGGAAAGCAGATTGAAAAGGGGAGTTTCGAGTGCTCAGCACCATCTGATGCAGAAGTGTCAGCCCCAGTGCCTGGTGTGCAGTCACACACGGTGCTTAGCTTTCCTTGAGGTCATCCTCCTGTCTTACCTTTGTCCTGCCCTATGATTCTCCAGGGTTTTCTTTGTGCTTAAATAGGGTATCTCTCTCCTTGGACATAGTCCAGTAGGCAAGGGGCTGACTCAAAGTAGAACTGCTATTTCTATATCAGAATGTGTCATTTGAATTTCACTAGGACATGCTGCATGATTATGTTGAGTACTGATTGAGTTCATGGGAGTCACCATGAGATCATCTTTGTGTGTAGTCTTGCATTTGTTTTTGAGTCTACAACAAGAAAAAAAATGTGAAGTCTTCTAGTGCTGAGCTTTGTCATTGGGTTGGGGTTAGGAAATATTTCCTCCTTCGTCTCCCAGATGCATACACACAAGATAGAGACAAGTAAATGAGCAGTTTGCTTACAACCTTAGTATTTCTTACATGTAGCCATGGCCCATCTGGTCACCAGCTTTACCCAAAGGAATATGCTACAGATATGAGAGATGTGTGCTGCAGAACTGATTTCCTTTAGAAATTCATCTTTGGGGACAAGAATAGAATTCAGTGGTGAAGCACATGCTTAGCACATGCCTAATTCTTCCCTAACAAAAGGGAAAAGGAAAGGAAAGAAAAGAAGGAAAGAGAAAGGAAAAGGGCTTGTTTTCTTCTTGGACTATATTCCTAGTTGAGACTTGCTCATTTGATCTGTTTCAATATTTAACAATATTTCACATTTTCTTACAGTTTTCACTGAAAAATACTGTACTGCTAACCATGTGGATAAACTTCCTGGCCCCCGAGACTGGGTACAAATTCTACAGGATCAAATTAAACTTGCCAGAAGAAGGTTAAAAAGAGGCTCAGGTAGGAATAAGCTGGGTTTTTTTTTAAGTAATTGCAGAAATACTTTATTGAATTCTTCGACTTAATAAAGCATAATAGTTTCCTCTGAGATACTGTGGTATCATTTGTCATTTGAAGGAGTCGCTCTATGTAATGTGCTCTCTTAAAGTCATACTCAAGAATTTTGAAGCTCACCTTAAGACTGAATAGTAAAAATATGTCAGGCCATTTGTTTTGAATAGCACAAGTCAAGAAAAGATGGTCAATCTCATTTGTCGTCTGACATTTAAAACTTTCGTTTCTGTGTATTGATTTTTGTTTAAATTTGCATGACATTTTAAAGGTCCTAGTAACTTAAGGTGGTGTGTGTGTGTGTGTTTAAATTTTTAAAAATCTGACTATGGCAGTTTATGTATTATTCTTCCAGGAATGTGAGCGCCAGTTGGGTTGTGATTAAATCTGGTCATTTGAAATCTCAGCAGGCCAATTTACCAGTGAGGGAGCTTTCTGAGGTTGATTTTCCTACCAACAAGAACAGTTATCTCTTAAGGGGCCACAACTCTCTAGGTATTTTTTAAATCCCATGTAAATTGGTACATCTACTATGAAAAATGGTATTCATTTGAAAATTTCTTTAAAAAAATAAAAATAGAACTTCCATATGATATGGCAAACCACTACTGGGCATAAATCCAAAATCAATGAGTATGTTGATGAGCTTTCTGCATTCCTGTAGTCCCTGAGTCATTTTACTTTTTTATGTCCTGGGCCTGGGCCTTGAACTCAGGGCATGGGTACTGTCCTTGAGCTTTTGTGCTTAGGCCAGCTGTCTCACTACCACTTGAGCTACAGCTTCACTTCTGACTTTTTTTTGGTGCGTAATTGGAGGTTGTCTCACAGATTCGCCTGCCCCAGCTGGCTTCAAACCATGATCTTCAGACCTCAGCCTCCTGAGTAGCTATGCATACATTTGGGAGCCAGCCGTGCTCAGCTCACTGAGTCATTTTTCCCAGTAGCTAAGATCAAGAATAAACCTAGCCTACCAGTGGATCAATGGATACAGAAAAGCATGGTATCTACATACTTTTTAGCCTTAAATAAGAAGGAAGTCCTGTCATTTGCCTCAACATGGGTAGGCCTGGAGGATGTTTTGTAAGTGAAGCACAGAAATATAAATACCACATGCTCTCACTGTAGAATCTAAAGGAATAGAATGCATAGAGCAGTGAGTAAACAAGGCTCCAAGGGGGAAGGGGAATTGGGGACAGATGCCAGAGAATGCAAAATTTCACTGAGACAAAAAGAATAAATTAAGATCTACTGTGTAATGTGTTGACCAGGAGCACCAATTCTTAGTATACTTGAAACTTCCCCACAGTTTGTGGTGCAATACATCTGTTAATTAGTTCACTAAGCCATTCTACAGTGCGTGCATATTTCTAACATCATGTTGTACATCATAAATATATACAAGCTCATTTGTCAGACAATAAGTAAAATAAAATGAAAAGAATTGAGATCAAACATCATGATACCCAGCCCTCAAGGATTCCCTGGGTCAAGAGTGTGCGGCAGGTTGGAGGTAGACTTTGGGTGATGAGATGTTGCACATTTTAGATACAATGGAAGCATATAAGACCACACCTGCAAAATTGTGTGAGATTCTGTCTCCAAATCCATTTTGTGCTGCTATAACAGAATGTCACAGACTGGGTAATTAATTAGTAGTGACCAGTTCTGGTTCACAGTTCTGGAGGCTAGAAGTCCAAAATTGAGGGACTGTAGCTGGCAGAGGGCACATGACCTGTATCATCTCATGGCTGAAAAGCAAAATATTAAGGAGAAAGGGAGATCGACCTCACCCTTTTCTAAGGGTGAACCCCTTCCTATAATATGAACATTCATCCATTCAGGGGGCCAAAGCCCTTGTGGCCTAATCTCCTCCCAGCGCTGTTGTAACACAGTAACTTGGGGAGAAACATTCAGATCCTAGCTAAACAAATGCTTATCAGGGAAATCCTTCCCAATCAAACACTGCCCTCCTCATCAGCCTCATCTCCACCAGCCATCCACACCAGCTTTCTCCTTGTTCTGGAAATAAGCTGGTTTCTGCCCTGCTTCTGGCCTCTCTGAACCATCTTTCCTAAGCGCTGCAGAATCTTCTTTGGAGCCTAGCTACCTTGATCTTCTGCTGCCTGCACAATCATATCTTTGCTTCCTTCGCTGGACTAGGTTAGAGCTGCTGCTGAGCCATGGTTGTGTCCCAAGTGACACACAGGAGCACTAGTGTGAGACAGGGCTGACTCAAGAAATATTTGTTGAGTGAATCAGTGAAACTTTCAGTGATCCCAGAAGGAAGAGACTGTGGTCCACTACAAAGAGGTCTTGTTAGTTTTGTTGAAATGGTGTGAAAGCCTCGTCACTTCCTTGAGGTTCAGGAACTGTGGGTGGCAGTGTCCTGAGCTCTGTGCTTAAGAACAAAGTCTGTCTGGGCCCCTATAGCTCACATCTGTAAATCCTAGCTACACAGAGGCTGAAATGTGAGAATTGAGATTTCGAGCTAGCTTGCGCAGACAAATCCGTAAGACGTTTTATCTCTCATTAACCAGCTGGTAGTGAATGTGTGGTTTGAGTGGTAGAGGTTCCGGCCTCCAGTGGAGAAGGGGAAAATGTGAGGTCTTGAGTTTCAGCCCAGCCTTGTGGGAACAACATTCACCCCTTCCTCACACCTTATTTTCTCCTCCTCAGCCCTTCCTCGCACTTCTTTTTCTGCCTCATCTCTTAAGCACTGTCTGTACACCTTTGCCAGGCTCCTCTCTCCTCCCCTCCTCTCTCAAAAGTGCAGCATCTAATCCTCTGTGTCCTGGCCTCACCCAGAGCAGACTAACTGGAAAGATCCATCTCCTGCTGGCAGAACTCCTTCACCTGTGTACCTAAAGGTCAACTGCTTCTGCCTTGCCTTACCTGGCAAAGCCCCACTTTATTAGCAATTACATCACCAAGTCCCCCGTCTCCCCCCACCCCATCCCATTTCCTGGAATGGTTGAGTTGGCAGCAAAGAGAAACTATCTTCCATGGTTGAAAGACTGCAGCTGGTGAAGGGCGCAAGAGCTACGTCGTTCTGGGGCAGAAGTGCAGGGAAGGTGAGAAGGGAGGAAGGTGAAGGTCAAGTGGGCTGTCACCCCTGACCCAACCCAAGTCCCTTCCTGAGCGCTGAGGTGGCCTTGCAGCCCCTCAGTGTGTACAGCCCAGCTCACATTTCAGGCATTAACCTGCGGGGCGCCCGTGATGACAAGCATAAACTGGCCCTTGTTGTCTAGATTCTGCCTTGAGAATCTTGACTGATGAGTGTGCAAGAATTTCCATTTACCTATTGATCTGCAGGAGGAAAATTGTTGATTCCCCAAAATGAAGAAACATTAAACATGGTATTTAGGTTTGAGAGAAAGCTACAGTGTGTTAGAAAGAAGAGAAGTAAGTCTAGCATCAGTAAGCCCAAAGGTAGAGGATCAGTGTAGCTGAGACCCAGCTACACAGCTACCTTTGGTCTGCCCACTACCTGATAACAACTGTGCTGCCAACTTTGAGCCAGCCTGGGGCAGGCCAGGTAACCCCTGGGCATGCAGCTGCCTCTTGGTGCTGGTGGGAGCGGACGGGGACATGTGAGAAATACCTATGGTTCCCTAAGAGCATGAAAGAAGGAAGTAGATGAGCCCAAACTGTTGCTGTTCCTAACTGGAGGGCAGCAGACCCACCACCCAAGAAAGAACAAGAGACCTTTGTGATCCAAATGTGTGCCTCTCGCTAAAGAGAGTGACTGAAAGTCCCTTTCTGAGGACCTAAAATGTTAAGAAAAACCTGGAAGGTCAAAGTCATGAAAAGGAGGGAGATATTAGAGAAGGCTGCTCCCAATGATAGGAATGCAGCTTTAGTAGGAATGAAAATAGCGAGAAAAAGAAATGCACAGGTAAGCTGCCCAGTAGGTTATCTGGATGACAATTTATATTTTCAGTCTCTTTGTCACAGCTATCAGTATTATGTGTAATGTTTTGGGGTTTTTTGGGGGGTAGGTTGTGGGGCTTGAACTCTGGGCCTGGGTGTTGTCCCTGAGCTCCTCAGCTCAAGGCAAACGCTCTACCACTTGAGCCACAGCACCACTTCCAGTTTTCTGGCGGTTTATTGGAGATAAGAGTCTCACAGACTTTCCTGCCTGTGCTGGCTTTGAACCATGATCCTCAGATCTCAGCCTCCTGAGTAGCTAGGATTACAGGCATGAGCCACCAGTTCCCGATCCGTGACCATACCTTAACAATCACAGCATTTCTGTTAAGAATCACATTTTAAATGTTCATTCCCCCCTCCCCATTTACTATTTCTTTAGAACTGTAACATGATCTCTCGCCCTTCCCTTCCTCTGGGAAGCTTTCATTCACTCAGAAGCTTTGGACACTGTCTATTCCTATTCTGTAACATTATGGCACTTGGCCTGGTATATTTTAACTTTTGATCACTGAGTTGAGATGCTCTGCCTTGACATTTGGACTGTATTTTAAATAGATTCGATGAGTGATTAGGAAGTGGGAGGTGGCTAAGACAGAACCACCCCTTGATCTCCAGACAGAAATCCTGGCTCATCAGCCAGGAACCACCAACTAGAGTTTGTCTTCCTACTTTGTCACCCTGCATTCTGGGGCAGCAGAAAAGCAAATTGAAACCAGAGTGCCTCGAAATTTGTACAAAGGGACCAAGAGGCCTGGATCAATAACTAGCTCTTGTGCTGTTTTTGTCTTGATTATTTTCCATCTAAATGATAATACAAAGTATGTCATAGATACTCTACAACTTCAGCCTTATTTATCATCTTTGGCTCAGGTCCTAGAATGAGGTACAGACCCTGGCTGGGCCACACTCATCAGTAACCACTGAGCATAATCTTCGGTGCCTCTGGGAAAATTAGTAGCCAGGCCCCCATGGGAAAGGTTGTTATGCAAATCCAAACAGAAATTCATTTGGGGTTCTCATCACATGGAATAATTTTTTTTATATAACTAAAATGATTCCTTTCCTGGTGTGGATTTTTTTTATCATTTTTATTAAACTACTTCCTTAGCTGAAATCACAATTTATTATTTGTGTGAGATCCCAGGGTTAAAGCCGTCACTGCTAGTAAATTTTGATTAGACTTGCTCAATCTTTTCTAAATTTTACTAGACTGTCAGAGGGAAGAAGGATTGTGAACTTACAGTTGCAGACAGATGTTATAATTAACTTGATATGATACCGCGATGTCCTTCATCTGTCACACCTGGCCATGATCATGAAGCTGTCATATGCTAATTTACATAGTTTACATAGCTTTTGGTTCTATGTGTTCTCTTCTGACAGAGTTACATAGGTCTGTTTATAAAAAGTAAGAATAGCTGGACTGTACCTCAAACTGGTGTGTGCATGTGTGTGTGTATGTACATGCATGTGTGTGCGTGTGCAAGAGTAAAAATGAGCCAGGCGCTGGTGGCTCACTCCTGTAATCCTAGCTACTCAGGAGGCTGAGATCTGAGGATGGCGGTTCAAAGCCAAGCCGGGCAGGAAAGTCAGTGGGACTCTTATCTCCAATAAAACTACCAGAAAACTGGAACTTGAGCTGTGGCTCAAGTGATAGAATGCTAGCCTTGAGCTGAAGATCTGAAGAACAGAGCCCAGGTCCAGAGTTCAAGCCCCACAACTGACAAAAAAAAAAAAAGAGTAAAAATGAGGACTCAGTATTGCTTTTGCTTGCTGCCAGCTGAGTACTGCCATGTGATAGGAATGACAATCCTCATGTGTCCAAACTGTCCATGTGCCAGTGTGTTCAGCCTTCCATAGGGACATAGAGCATGCCACCAACATTACCCAGCAGCCATAGCTAGCACTGCCTCTGTGCCTGGCATGTCAAGGCTTTGGGGCCCTTTCTTTGTGAATGAAGGACCTCCCTTTGCAAAACTACTAAGGAGAGTAAAGTGTGTGTGTGTGTGTGTGTGTGTGTAGCAGGATTTATAATGCAAGGTTTGCTTTTTTTTCTTTTTTTTTGGTCGGTTGTGGGGCTTGAACTTGTCCTGGGCATTGTCCCTCAGCTCTTCAACTCAAGGCTAGCACTCTACCACTTGAGCCACAGCACCCTTCCGGTTTTCTGAATGGTTTATCAGAGATAAGAGTCTCACGGACTTTCCTGCCTGGGCTTGGCTTTGAACCGTGATCCTCAGAACTCAGCCTCCTGAGTAGCTAGGATTACAGGCATGAGCCACCGGTGTCTGGCTCAAGGTTTGCATTTTAAATCTTAGAAATGAAGCATCATTTGAAGAAACTTGATTTGTGTGTGTGTGTATGTGTATGTGTGTGTGTGCATGTGCCTGGTGGTACTGGGGTTTGAACTCAGGGTCTTGCTCTTGCTAGGCAGGTGCCCTCCAGCTGACCCATTCACAGCTTCCTTCATGACTGAACTGAAGGCAGTTTGGCTGGCAGCTTGTGGTCCTGACTTTCCAGGTATCTCTACAGAAAGGTTCAGTCTCTGGATTCTCTAAGGCTGACTCCAGTTCTACAATTGGAATTCACTGACCTGCCTGCCGCACAGTTGAGCAGTCCATTCCAGTGCTAGCTGGTTTTTGTTTTTGTTTTTTTGAGGGGGGGGCGGTTCCAGTCGTGGGGCCTGAACTCTGGGCCTGGGCACTATCCCTCAGCTCTTCAGCTCAAGGCTAGCGCTCTACCACTTGAGCCACAGTGCCACTTCCGGCTTTTTTGCTTTTTGCTTATGGTGCTGAGGAATCCGACCCAGGGCCTCATGCATGCAAGGCAAGCGCTCTACCACTGAGCCACCTTCCCAGCCCTGCTGGCTGGTTTTTATGGCAGTGCAATTAAAGGAAAGTGAATTAAAATTATCAGTGATTGACAGAATAAGGCTCAGAAGATTTTTTTAAATGAATTTAATGCAGGAAAGCTGATTTTCTGCTATTCTCTATACCAGTGGTTCACACTTGTAGTCCTAGCTACTCAGGAAGCTGAGATATAAGGATTGCAGTTCAAAGCCAGCCCAGGCAGGAATGTCTTTGAGACTCTTATCTCTAGTTGACCAGCAAAAAGCCAGAAGTAGAGCTATGGCTCAAGTGGTAGAGCATCACTAGCCTTGAGCACAAAAAAAGCTAAGGGATTGTGCCCAGGTCCTGAGTTCAAGCCTCTATATCATCACAAAAATAAAATACATTTTCTTTATTTTAATAATGATGTTGAAATCTGTAATGTGAGCCAACTGAAGCGAAGAGGAAGAGTGTAGACGGCCATGTACACTGGAGTTATTTTAATTGTATTACTGTGTTCAGCAAAATGAATGTGTTCCCTGAAACTAATGAGATTTGTGTTTTATGTTCGTAACCAGCAGAGGTAGCTGACGGTGATGAAAGACTGGACAGCATTTCTCTACCACCAACAGGTAAAACATATTTACATTTTCATCACCCCCTGCAGAGCACAGGCTGGGAAATACTGGCATTGAAAATGCTTTGCCATTAGACATGCAGATGCTTTTGCAAGCTGTTTGTACGTAGCACACCCAGGCCTCGGCATCCACAGCTTCTCAAGAACCTAGATTCACACAGGTTTTGAAAAGTGACCTTTTTATTTTTCCCTCACTGTTTTCAGATTCATCTACATCTCAAAAATGCAAATCCTAGAAAGTTAGGATGAAAAAGTTAGAATTACAAAATGTTTCCATGTAAAATGAAATCTTCACTTTAGCAGTAGGGATCACCAGTTTTCTGTGACCAAATTCAGACCTCTGCTGTCTTCCCTTACTTCCTCCAAAAGGCCTCTTGAGAGGCCATCCATCCATGTTTTTCATACAGGAAAGAACCAGTCACTGCTGGGTTTTGATTGTGTGACTAGACAAGCCCGTCTGTCAGTATGAGTGACACACTGTCCTAATACTTGACCAGATCGGCAACAGAGCTTTAAAGCATCTGCTGCACACAGCTGTATGCCACAGACATGACTCTGGCCTCACAGTATTTGAGTCCTATCCCTGCCCCTGGCCTCCTGAGAGCTAGAGGGACAGTGAGCCATGTGCCAAACAATTGATTCCCTCATTTGGCCTCAGAACTTCGTTGTTGCCTGCTCTCAAAAGAATACCTGAAGATTCCATCCACAAAATACAGACATCCCCAGAGAAATCTCGTAACTGATAAAGCTTGAATCAGTCCTTTTCCTCTAGAGAATCTAGTCTGTATAAGGATTCCTAGTAGACTTCCTTGTGGTCCCATGTTCATTGGCAGCACCATCCGAAGATGGCCACTAAAGCAGAGTTGATGGGTGAAGGATGGGCATATTGTAATGAACTTGAGAACAGCAGGAAAACCCAGCTGTGTAAATGATACATTGCTTTCTCTGAGATGAGTAGCTAAGCAACAGATCGATGGACAAATAAATGAAATGAGCCACATAGTACAAAAAGGATCTGCCTGTTTCAGGTCCTTCCCATATATAGTCATTATGTCAAAGGAATTGCTCTTATTGGGCTATGTGTCCACATTTGTGAATTAAGAGAATTGAAATATATGATCTCTGTTGTTCCTTCCCAATCTATCATTCTCTGAATATCAGGACAACTAATATCAGTCTTTATTCTTAACAGTCCCAGCCCATTCCCAGAAGATGCAGGCAATACTAACCGTACTAGTGTTAGTGTCTTCCTGCTCACTACCCTGTGGGCGTCGGTACCAACTATCCTAAAGCCATTTGACACGGTGGGTTTCAGTGAGCTTTTGTTTTCATGTGCCTTGATGTGATACCTTTATATTTAACTGGAGGTAGAAATGTTGGATGTGAAAATTGAGTCACAGGGCAAGCTAGAACAGCCTCACGGAACCGAAAAGGCTTTGGAGGAATCAGAATGAGAAGGAACTTGAGAGATCATCTAGTCCAATCCCTGCCTTTTTTTTTATCCAGTCCTTTTATTTTTACAGGAGAAAAGGCCTGAGGGCCCAGAAACATTAAATGACTTTCTCAAGGTCTCACAGCTGGCTGAAGGCTTGGAGGGACCCCAGGCCTCCTCGCCTCCCAACCATGACACCTACACCATAGCGTTGTCTTATACCTAAGCCAAAGTCAGCTTTTCTCTGCATGCTTCCTACAAGATTCTAAGAGCTGATGGATGTACTGATCCCTTTAGGATTCCATTTTAATGTCTCACAGTCGTCACAGAATGTCTGTCATCAGTGTAGCCACACAGCTCACTAGAGTTTAAGCTCATTCAAGTCCTTTCTCAAAATTTGCCTGAGGCTGTGAGGTCATAATGGAAGAGAGTAACAAAGGTCTTTCACCTGACTACTGAAAGTGATACAGATTACGAAACAGCATGGGAAATTAAAAGTTTGGTCATTTTTGAAAAGGAGAACTGAAGGCACAGATTGGTGCTCATATTACATAGTAATAAAATAATATTGATAATCTAGCGTGTGTCTTAGTTGCCTCTCTAAAACCCAGTCTGGTCAGCTCCTCGGAGTGTAATGTTACTGCTAACACCCTCCCATGTCCCTGATATGAGCAGCAAATGTTGAACTCCAGCTTCTTGCACACCTGTGTCTTATTCCTTGGACACAGCCTCACCAGAACCATGGAAGCCTCCAAGGGTTCTGATATAGACTTCCATTTTCTCATGTATCTCAGCTGATCAAGCGATCCTTTCACATACTCAACAATGCTTTGTTTTCTCCTCTAAGAGTCTGGGTGTATGGAGAATGGAAAGCTAGACATCTTTACATGGTGCCCTAAGCCAGAAGTGACTTTGCAAGGGTTTTAGTCAGGCAGTCAAATGACAGTTGTTTCCACCTAGTGCTTTTAAACAACCTTCTGTTTGTTTGACTTTAACAAAAACAGATACAGATTGTATAATGGAGACGCATGTTTTCTTAATGTATTCCCCCTGAGCACTGTTCAGTGAGCCTTTTGAGCAACTGCTGGCCCATCAGGGTGTTGTGGTCTGGTGTCTACATACCTGTCATCAGACTAGAGAGAGAGAGAGACAGAGGCAGCTACTGAAATTCTGTGACACAGATGTGGAGACAATGTTGGAGAAGGGAAAAAAGAAAAAGCCTCCCAGGATCTGGGAACAACTGGCAGTTAAAAAAATAAGTACAGAGATGGGCTGGGAAGTTGGCTCAGTGGTAGAGCGCTTGCCTTGCATGCCTGAGGCCCTGGGTTCGATTCCTCAGCACCACATAAGCAAAAAGAAAAAACCCGGAAGTGGCACTGTGACTCAAGTGGTAGAGCGCTAGCCTTGAGCTGAAGAGCTGAGGGACAGTGCCTAGGCCCAGAGTTCAGGCCCCACGACCGGACCCAAAAAACAAAACAAAAACAAACAAAAAAAAAAGTACAGAGAAAATGAAATCAAAACATTGCTTTCTAAAATTTAAAATGAGGCCCTTGCTGGATGTCAGTGGCTCTCATCTATCATCCTAGCTACATAGGAGGCTGAGTTCTGAGGACCACCATTTGAAGCCAACCTGGACAAGAAAGTCATGAGACTCTTACCTCCAATTAGCAACCAAATCTGTATATGCATTATTCATTGCACCATATTCTATTAGGGAGGTAAATCGTTTTCTACTTAGCCCTTTCCTATTGTGTGGCCATACTCTAATCATAACACGCAGTCATGATATAGTCATGGGCTTGCCTGTAAAAAAAATATCATTACAAGCTTCTAAGTCCTATAATTGCACACTTAGCACAACTAAAGCCTTGACTATAAACTTAACTATTGAACTCTGGGACCCAGATACCTCTTCGTGCTAGTCCCCCACCCCCACTTCATCCCTCCTTGTCCAGAATACCTGGCTTTCACCATGTGGTCCCTGAGAGCAACAGCTCCTCCTTTACTGTCTTGTCTCTGTTGTAGGTGATATATTTGACACCAGGAGAGGAAACACGGTGGACAGAGAACCGGGTTCATTGCCTAGACTTGTGCTTTAGTGACCTTGATCATTAGCATACGTAACTCTTCCATTTGAATCTACTCAAAGACCCACACTGCCATGTGTGGATGTTTTGTGAAGTTTATCTGTCATGGTTGAATCATTTCCTATGATTTCTTTGTAAGATGTGATGATCACACAGCCAGATGGGTATATGATACTTTCAAAATTGTTTTTAGTTGATCTGTTACCTTTGAAGGTCCTGTGAACAATCCAGTTACTAGTTCTGTGTCTGTCACCAACAGGCTATCTCTCCCTGGCTTTATTCAGCATAACCTAAGTGTGAATATACAGTTTTGGAGCCTGTTTATTTTCATGTAAACTGTTAGCTGCCTATAAAGGAGAATGGCTCTTTGCAGACCTCAGAGAGGTGGTGAAGGCCAGAATTAATTAGGCCTTCCTCAGTGCACAAGAACAGCTGTTTGGGGAGAGGAGAGAGAGCGCCGGCCTGTTAGATGAAATCATTTGTGACATCAGTGTTCCCCCTAAACAGCCATTTGGCATTGAATAAGTGAAAATGAAGGATGAATTCTTAGCAGAGGAATGACATACATATTGTGTTGACATTGTGACCAATTAAAGCTAATTAAAAGATGCAAAACTCCAACTAACCAGTTCTCCACCTGATACCCAGTAGCCATTTACACAGAGGGTTTTAAATGAGTGGACCCCAGTTCAGACATTGCGTGGTGACAGGTCACAATAGGCATGCTTAATATCCTGTTGTTTATTTTGGTTCCTGGTGTCCCCGCCCTCCACTTTATAGAAAACCCACATAAGAAAATGTAGGTTTGTTTTTTAAAGAGATATCTCTCCATATGGGTATTTGATTTACAGAAATAAGTCACCTTCAGATTTTCTTTCTCTTAACACAGTAGTGAGTTGAAAGTAGCATTTATTTAGAAACACTCCCTTTCCACCTCATTTGTTGTATAAAAGCAAATCGCCTTGAATCTTTGGCACAAAAGAAAAATGACTTGACCCACTCGAACCCCAGGATTAAAACCTGACATGCGGGGCTGGAGATATGGCTCAAGGGGTAGAGTGCTTGTAAGCACATGGTCTTGAGTTCAAACCCTGGTTCCACCAAAAAAAAAAGGGGGGGAAAGAACACCACCCTGACAGTTTACCCCTCTCCCTACCATCTACTTCATCTACCTGTTGGAGCCAGCAATGACTGTGGTGGCCGCTCTGTCCACCCTTGGCTAGTGAGTGAGGGAACCAAGGAGGGAGTATCTGGTTGCCTAAACTGAGGTGACCATTCAGTGGCCAGCTACACACAGAATGTGGATATCCATACTACCTGTCCAAGGCACCAAACCTCACATTAAGGGGGGCACAGAGGTATGTTATTATCCCACCACGATCAGCTTACACCCAAGAAGATGCACAGCATCCCATAATGTGACAGAACCAGGTTTTAGGTGTGGCTTGTGAAAGCAGTCTAATGAGTCATTACATCACCTGTCTATGAGTCTTTTATCTTTCCTGTTGAAGCAAGAAGGAAGGTTCAGACTTCCATTTTTCCTTTAGTCTTTTTCAGATCTCTTTCCTGAAAGCAGTCCCTTTGCAGGTTTGGTAAACTCCTCCCTTACAAACCTGCGCTTTTGTTATTCTGCAGCAGATGCTTTTTTAAAAAAAAAAAAAATGGTCTCCTGCCTCCCAGAATGAAATACTCCTGAAGGAACGAGAAGAGATTAATTAGTGCCCTTCCACTCTGTTAAACTATGATGAATATAACCGTAGTTCCTCTTAGTCTGCACCGTGACCCTTGAAAAGTACTCCCTTCCAAGTCTGGTGGCAGCTTAGTGCTGCCACTACTTGAGGAGGGGTAGAGTTGTTCAGCTCACAGCTATGTGCAATGGATTCCTAAGGTGGAATCTACAAACAGTGAAATCATATTTTGTAATTTAAAATTGTATTTGTGTTAACTTACTGTGACTACTGTTCAGACTTTGTTCAAAAATCCTTTTTTATAGGTTTTCTTAGCAAAAAAAACCCCATATCTATGGATAACATGTCTCAATCTTCTGTATATATGTTTTATTAATATGTAAATATTTAGATTTTTTTAAATTACTATGTTCTTTAAAAAAAAAAAAAAGAACTCAGTGCAAGGCTAGTTGTGAAAATGGTGTATAACATCGTGTTGTGATATCAATTCTCAAGATGCTCTTTATGTCCATTCTGGAAGAATATAATAAATTACTTTAATTGAATGCACATGTGTCTTCGCCTATGTGCCAGTCTCCCCGTGTTTATGAAGTCAGCACTATTCATTAATTAGAAGGTATTTATGAGTATTCTGATGATCGCCCCCAGGAGTTATGCTGCCTTATGAAGTTAATTTTTCAGAATAAAACAAACTAAATTGCTACCGGAATGAGACTACTGAAACCCTGCAGTCACCAGCTCTGCCTGCCCATCGGATCAATGGCAGTAGCAAGTCCCATAGAAACACTTGAGCATTAAGTACCAAGATGCTTGAAGCCTAATTTTAAATGAATTAGGTGGCTTTGTAATCTTCACTTAAAAGGTTAAGCCCTGCTTCTATGGAAACAACACATCAGAAGGACAAATCAATCTTGTCCAATACAAAGTGGCCGCTCAAACGTGATTGCTTTATCCTCCACTGGACACAGGAGGGCGCTACTCCTCATTGGGACCTACCCTTTCCCGCTTCCCATGCGGATGTCCAACCCCCTTGCTAAATCCAGCCAGGATTTTCCATCCCGCATCACCTTGTTGAAGCTAGGCATGAGCCTACCCTTCCTACCACATGTCCTGCTGCATCATGGGGCCCCTTGTGTCCATGAAATTGCTTGCCAGGGGTCCATGTTATGTTCTATGGCCTGAGGACATGCCCCCTCCCATATGCCGATACAGATCTGTGCTCTGTAGTTGGTCTGGCAGAAGGGTCCTGTTGGGCCTCTCCAATCCAGGAGAGGGGAGGAGGCCTACTGTGCAGACAGGAAGCCTCAGGAGAAAGGGAAGGTCATCACCAGCCTCTCTTAAAAGCTGTACTCCTGCATGCCCAGCCTTGCCAAGCAATGGAGAATGTGGTGGATGGGGCAGGCTCATTTCCCAGGAGCCCCTGTGTTCAGCTCTACAGCATTCTGGATATTAGCTGGGTCAGATCCTATGGTGGCTTCCAGTGACACAGATTGGGGTGCAAAGGGAACGGGTAAAGAACCAAGTCTGGGGAGGCACTTGGCACCAAACAGCACCAGATCTTGGACCATCGCAGGATGTAAAGATGGTGTAGGCAGCCACTGGAGTGAGTGCGTGAGGGCTTTCTATTTCTTGTCTTACTTTGATCCATCTGGCTGGATTTGAGAGCAGTCAGCTGTTGGGAGGGCAGAGAGTAGTTAAAGAGAATCCAGGAGATCAAAACATCCACAGAGCCTAGCACAAGAAGAGGAATGACAAGAGTAGGTGACTGGGCTGGAGGAGGGGGGTGGTGTCAAAGCTGACAGCCAGGGTTCTGTCTGGGGAGAGGGGCACAGGTTTCATTTTCCCACTCTAAGCTACAGAACATGGTGGAGAGTGATCCGGAGAGCAGGTGAGTTCAGTGAATTCACTCATTCATTTCACGCTTGTTTATAACCAGCCTGGCACCACTCTAGGGCCATGAGTAAAAAAAAATCACCCCTCAGAACTCAGAACATGTGTCACCAGACAGTACAGATGACCAAGCGCTGGAGAAAACACAGCACACAAGACCTACTTGTGTTCCTCAACAAACTCCCTGGGGAGGAGGGAATTCACACTTGGAAGCCTTGTACTCAAACTGGAAGCAATCATACTTCCTCATACTTCAGCTCATTACTAATCTTAATACTTAAAGAGGGATTTGTGACTATCTGCCCACAAGTAATCACCAGGCTCCATCAAATCAGTTGTGTGTGTGTGTGTGTGTGTGTGTGTGTGTGTGTGTTTACTTCATATCACTTGATTTTCTCTGGAATTATGTTTCTTATTCATTTGATTTCTGCCCATCTTCTGCTAGAACCTAGGCCTCACGTATGTCAGGGATCTTTTCCTTTAACATTTCATAACTTAGAATGCATGAAATTGATCATCCCCTTGGAAGATAATATATGCAGGTACATTTATACCTAGATGTCTATGTAGTTGTTTTGTATTCCAATTTGTTATTAGTGATATTAGTGGTAAAGGAGCCATACTTTAAAGAACAGAAGGACATCCAGTGAGATGGAACTCAGGTGGGACAATACATATTAATAACCCAAGTAAAGATGATGTTAAATGGCTTTTGTTGCTTTATTTTTTTTTTTTTTTTGGGTCCGGTCATGGGGCCTGAACTCTAGGCCTGGGCGCTGTCCCTCAGCATTTCAGCTCAAGGCTAGTGCTCTACCACTTGAGCCACGGCGCCACTTCCAGCTTTTTTCTTTTTGCTTATGTGGTGCTGAGGAATCGAACCCAGGGCCTCAGGCATGCAAGGCAAGCGCTCTACCACCGAGCCAACTTCCCAGCCCCCGTTGCTTTATTTTTTTTTATTGGAGATACAGGGTCTCATGCTTGCGAGGCTGGTGTTCTACTCTTGAGCCAATGCATCCAGCTCTATTTATTGCTGGTTAGTTGGAGATGGAATCTAGTGAACTTTTCTGCCTGGTCTGGCTGATCAACATATAGCAGAATCCTTTGTTTTAATAAATCAGAAAGAAAGGAAAAAAGTCTTAAGAAGACACACACCAAGCTATTAGTTATCTTTGGATGGTGAGATTATGGATATTTTCAAATAGTCTCCCAAATGACTTTTTTCTGAAATGAATGTGTGTCCATTTTACAGTAGAAGTTATCTTTTTCATTTAAAAATGTAGAATAATAGTGGCATGAATAAATGTTCATGATATATTTACTCCTAAGTTGTGGGTTCAACCTGTTGGAAATTTTTGTTTTTGTTGTTAGTTCTGGGACTTGAACTCAGGGCTTGGGTGATGTCCCTGAGCTCTTTTGCTCAAGGCCAGTGCTATACTACTTTGAGCCACAGCACCACTTCCATTTTTCTGGTGGGTAATTGGGATCTCATGGAATTTTCTACCTGGGCTGGCTTTGAACTACCATCCTCAAATCTCAGCCTTCTGAGTAGCTAGGATTACAGGCATGAGCCACCAGTACCCAGCTTTTTTTATTTTATTTTTTATTTCAAAACCCACCCTTATTTTTGCAAAGTTGATTATAATTATAACTACAAATACAGATTAACTGCATTTAGGTGTCCAAGAAAATAGAGACCAACTGCCACCTACAGCTTTATAAAGCTATAGACAATGTGTTAATTGAACATCAGCCTGATCACATTTTGCAAAAGAACTATTCATATGCATGCACAGAAAAAAGTAACAGTTGGAGGAAGTTGTTAATAGTAACTATCTTTGATGATCAGATTTTATGTGTTTCTTTTAAAAATTATTTGTGGGCTGGAAATATGGCTTAGTGGTAGAGTGCTTGCCTAGTATGCATGAAGCCCTGGGTTCGATTTCTCAGTACCACATAAACAGAAAAAGGTGGAAGTGGTGCTGTGGCTCAAGTGGTAGAGTGCTAGCCTTTAGCAAAAGAAGCTCAGGGACAGTGCCCAGGCCCTGAGTTCAAATAAAAATAAAAATATTTGTATCCTTTATGTTTTCTCAACTTATTTTCTAAAAAAGGGAAAATTCAAATAAAAGAAGAAAAGGCTTAGTGGTTTACACACACACACACACACAGATAGATGGATGGATAGATGGATAGATAGATAGATTGATAGATAGATAAATAGATAAATAGATAGATAACTTGAGACTTTGATACTGTTAGGAATCCTGGACATTCTTGTGATGCAGGCTTAAGTATCAGACGAGCATGAGTAAAAACTTCAGCTTCCTGGCCCCTGTTGTTTCTCAAAATATAGACAATGAGGGTATGGACAGTTAGGGTATGTACAGGACTCTGGAGGTCCATGCTTTACTTTGATGGAAAAGCCACTTTGCCAGAGGAAGACAGCCTTCTCTGCAGCTCAGAAGGACATTGGAGACAGTGCTTTATTTAAAAAAAAAAAATGTACTAGTTGCAAGATGAGAAGAAACTAGTCACAGTTGCAAATGTATTTGACCCATCAATTCAGAAAACCAAAAACCAATGGCATCAGGGCCTGTGGGACTTGTAGCAAAATCCAAGAAATGAAACATGAGATGGAAGATTGTACCACATTAGTCCAAGCCCCTCCCCAGTTCAGGCATAGAGTCTCTTCTTTCATAGATTTCTTACTCAACTACAGCGTTCTACACTGACCTAACAGGTGTCCAGCTTTGGAAAAGCCAATTTATGACCTCTGAGGCCACAGGATGTAGTGCCAACTCTATAAATCTAGGCTGCCAGGCACTGGGCATGTGGTGTCCCACACACAGCACGGACCTCGTGCTCACTCAGCCAACTCTTACCTCCATGGAGCAGAGGAGACAAAGTAAGGGAACTGGGTGGGCTCCCATGTCTAGAAGCTCACGTTAGCTCAAGATTTGAACTCGGTGTGTATGCTTCCAGTTCCCACATTCTTAACCTCTGTCCTGTCTCAGGGAGCCTGTGTGAGTGGAGAGAAGCATCTAGAATAACCACAGAGGGAACAATCTATCACTGTGTTGTACAGTGCTCATTCATACAACATGGACCTAAGTACGCTAATATGTTGTTTATTGAGTACTTTTATAAACCAGATGATGTTGTAAGTTTCTCACAGATCACAATTTGGTTCATATCTCCTCTTAGCCTAGAAGTAGCATTATTTTCGTCCCTGTTTTACAAGTAGGAAAATGAAGGAGATCTTAAATAACTTGCTCAAAGTCACATAGCTAACAACAGAAGCAGGATTCAGAGCCACACTTTAGGAAGGACTTGCAGATAGGTACGTAGGATATTTGTTATACACAGGCCTTGTTTTAAGCATGTTACTTGAATCCCTTCATTTGAAATGTCCCCAACACTTAGCCAGACAAAGCTTGGAAGTAGCTATATCTTCAATCTAACAACAGGTCCTTTATTAGACTGTTTCCAAGGGAACATAACAGAGTCATGAAAGATAGAGCTTGGTGATCAGAATGACCCCCAGTTTAAATACTGACTCCCCCACTGATTTAGTTCTGGTGCCCTTTATCCCCTTCATTTCCTCATACTTCTTACTGTTCATCTATCCACCAAAACAACTGAAATGATACCAGGCCCT